GCGTTGGACTCGGAGCGTTGATTGTTCGATTGACGCAGGGCTGTATCCGAAAAGGGGAGAACCTTGGTCAGCAACTGCAGCTGTCCACTTGAATTTCTAAAGCGCGTCGTACCTGATCTGCGCCCGCTGTCGAAATCGGATGCCAACTCGTCGTCATGTGCACCTGGCATGATGTCTTGCGTCGCGGAATCAGTAGATGCAGCTGTGACAGCAAAGGGATGAGTTGGGAAATGTTAAACTTTCAGGTTAACACCCAGACTCCGGCCATCAAACATGGCAAACGTGAGGAACAGCACTTGCCCTTGCGCGTCAGGGAGCCAGCTGGCCTTGCTTGCTGCTGCTGGCTCTGGGCAAACGCAGATTCAAGCTCTTGAACTTCATCCACCTCCTGAGCAGCTAACAACGGCTCCAGTGGTATTGTGGATCGTCCAGATGAACTAGCATTCCTAGTATGCATTGAATGTGTCGGCTGAGGGGCACGGTGGCCCTCAGCGTCCCGCCACACAGTGGCCCTCAGTGTCCCGCGCGGGGGCTTAGACCCCCTGTGCAGGTGGCTCCTGTCCATTCTAATGGTTGTTGACGTGTGCTAGCAAATAATAATTAGTTTTAGCGAATTCGTCGCAGATAGTGTCGCAAATAGAAGTGCAAGCTGACTTTACTGGCCGATATACTTGCGTAAGCACAGAAGATCGGGCTTTCAATTCCAACTTAGACTTACAATGTTCATGAAATGGTCCGCTTAAATAGTCATATTAGCGCGCCATAATCTCACTCCAAAGTTACGACATGGTCTAAGAAGCGCGCGCTAACGAACTGCAGAACCTTACAGATTGGGTATTCCATGGATACTGAGTCAATAGGAGATGCTCGGAAAGAAGTTTCCAATAATTTTTAAGCAGCCCCTCGCACAAATGTGTCCGGTCGTACTTCGCGAATAGAGAATCCGTACATCTCGTCCCAAAAGTCAGGAGCGAATTTTGCCGCGCAGATGCGCGCGTGCGATTCGCAAAATGCGCCTGTACAAATGTATATAAAATTTCTTGGCGGATGAGGACCAGGTGCGCCAGCGCGTTGCGCAGGTGAGCATGTTGGCCATAGCCGCACGCTGGACTATTGCGTCGATGCTTTGCAGTAAATAAAAGCACCGAAAGCCAACGTCGTAGCTTGCAACTCTGGGCTCGTGAAACTGCCGCGGAAGATGAAGCGGTCGGCGAAGAATCAGCCATAAGGCGCCTGCTTTCGGTAGCGCAGCGCATAATGCACATTGTTCCGACTAAACTCAAGCTACACTCTTACGAAATAAATAATAACAACGCAGAATTAGGTAAAGAGAAGAATCGCGAAAGTCGTTCAGAACCTTGCAAGTAAAATGGATGCCGCTGAGGGCTTGGAACAGCTTTTCGCAGCGCATTCGGCCGTGCCTGCGTTAGCCGTGTTGCAGCTACTACGGAAGGACTTGAGCCAGCAGCAAGCTCAAATTCTGTTTAAGAACCACCGGCATTGTCTTCAGATGGGAACATGTAGTTTTGGTCGGCGCGGGCGAGCAGCGTACGCATTGCGCACAGGTACCGAGGTGCAGCGTCTCAGGATGGATTTCAGCCAACAAAGCCTCAAGAGCTGCTGCACAACCACCGGTGTGTCTTCAGTTGGGCACGTGTAGTTTTGGTCGGCGGGGTCGAGCATCGTATGCATGGCGCACAGAAACCAAGGTGCAGCGTCTCTGTAACATCGCCAACATATCCGGAACGCACGCGGTGGCAGGCTTGCCGAGCACGAAATGAAGGGGGGTCGCATCTCACCATTCAACTAAGCATGCATGTGCTCGGTTGAATGCTCGGTAGCATGCGAGTTTACCTATCAAGATGTTTGTTTGCATATATCCCTCCAAGCGAGAGGGCTTGGACCTATGCTGATGTTCGTTACAAGAAGTGAACTGAGGACTGATGCTACACGTCATGTATACGCGTTGCTTAGCTTGCAACGAGACGCGCCCACGATGAAAGCTTCAGCTACACTCACAATACATTATACTGCTACACTATTCTCTCCAGTCCTACCACATTATATTTCACCGACGTACTTCCGCACCTTCCACATCACCATACGTGCTTTGGAAACGCGGGCAGCTGCTTCACAAGGGCCCCCATCTTTAAGCAGCCCCTTCGCACAAATGTGTCCGGTCGTACTTCGCGAATAGAGACTCCGTACATCTCGTCCCAAAAGTCAGGAGCGAATTTTGCTGCGCAGATGCGCGCGTGCAATTCGCAAAATGCGCCTGTACAAATGTATATAAAATTTCTTGGCGGATGAGGACCAGGTGCGCCAGCGCGTTGCCGCACGCTGGACTATTGCGTCGATGCTTTGCAGTAAATAAAAGCACCGAAAGCCAACGTCGTAGCTTGCAACTCTGGGCTCGTGAAACTGCCGCGGAAGATGAAGCGCTGGCGAAGAGGCAGTTGTATGCAGCATCTTGTTCAGAGTAAAGTCAAATTACAAAGTTGCGCAAAGTATAACATACATAAACTTAATTAAACATAAGAACAGA